GCACCAGCCCGTTGCTTCGTAACCAAAAATAATAAAAATTACAATTTGGTCCCAAATTTGTAAAAATAAAATTCCAGCATAAATAAATTTACTAGGTATTTTAATTGATATTTTTAAAAATCAATAAACGTCCTTGATTAAAATTCATTAAATAGAGTTATCTGAATGGCGCCTACATTAAGATCTACGACATAATAATTTTCATTAACTTTCACCCGTTTACGCAATGTCACTTTCCTAAGACAACAGCTCATCTGATTTGTTTATTCGTAGGTGTAACATAATGTGTACGTATGTTGCTATTATCTGTGTCAATTTAACTAACCATTGTTAAAAGTAATTGCCTTATAAATAATAATAAAATACAAGGACAAGTAACGCAGATGCTAAAGCAAAATGCAATATTGCAATAATAAATCAATAATCACTGCAATAGCTGGCGATTAGAATTATCATAATTTAAACGGAATGATTGAAGAATTACCTGACAACATATTAATGTAAAAACACTAATCAGACACTTGATAGTAAGTGCCAATCAAAGTGTAACGTCGCGCTGTAAGTTCGCACTTGTATGTATGAATTTGTTGCGTGATGAGACGATGTAAAAAAATAATACAATCGTCGATGTACTACCGCTATACCACACAGAAAAACTTCTCGAAAGATCAGAGCACTCCCCGAGATAAAAATGTTCAGTCTCTCAGAGTCTCTGAAAGCGAGACTCGAGTCTCCGTCTCTCATCGGGTCTCTCTGGTGTCGCTGAGAAAGACTGTCGATAGACTGTCAAAAAATTGTTTAGCGTCTCTGAACTAGAGACTCGAATCGCTCATAGAGAGATCCTCATTTCGTATCTAATCTCTGAACGAGAGACTCGAATCTCTCAGTAAGTGGTGTCTAGATAGACATGGTTAAAATTTTCTAAGTTCAACATATTTCAGAGATCCCAGTCTTTCTACGAGACACTCGAGTCTCTCAATTTTTCAGTTTTATTCATTCAGTCTCTCTGTGAGAGACTCGAATCTCTGAATTAACAATTTTATCGTTCGAGTCTCTCATACAGAG